GCGGAATCCGACAAAGTCCCATGATCTTGTTGTCGTCAGTTCATGAGTCTTGCTTGGAAACACAGACACAACCTCCTTCATATCTGCACATTTTAATATTTTATACATATGTTTTTTTGGGAGAAGATCTTTCTAAGAAATCAAGATTTGTGAAATACTCACTTTTAAGTTTATGACTCTCGGCTAGAGATAGATTTGCAGCGAACCCATTGAAGCTCTTTTTATAGCTTCTGATTAACAAATTTGATGCAGCACTGAAGGAAGAAACAGAAACAAAGAGAACAATGTACACACAGAAACAAAGAGAACAATGTAACACACATGTACAGTAAATTGTTTCAAATCTAGAGCAAATTTAAAAAAGGTTGTTGAATATTTACTTATAGCCAACAAGTGTTGGAGCATATTGAGATGGTGAGATGAAGCTGAGTATCCAATCTCAGGAAGTGTTCCCATATACACAATATACACCTGCATTTATATATATATATTATAAGGTGTTTTGTTCATATAGTCATCTCACAAAACAGAGCAAAAACTTGAACTTGCCTGTCTATTATCATCTGCAGAGACATCTCTGGTGTACATGAATGCTAAGCAGATTAAGAAGAGAGATGTAGAAAGCTTTGCCATTTTGTGGAACTCTAAACAAGAAAGTCAAATTTAGGATTGTGATTTGATAGGAGGAATGTGTTACAGATTTTATGATCACTATATCTTCATTGTCATGAACAATATGGAAATTAGGGGCTTTATTTCGATTTAGTCAAGAAAAAGAAAATTGTTTTTACTAATTCATATGAGCTCATTAAAAATTGAAAAAAATCTTTCAAATTGGGATTTAATTTAATTAGTCAATTTTGGCTAAAAATCTATTATCATGTGAAAGTTTCTGAGTCTATTTTACCTTAATTACCTTATGTCTTTAACATTTTTAAGTTAAATCCATTATCCAGTCATACCGGAATTTCAAGATATGATGCTGAATCAGTTGATTAGGTAAAATTGAATATTACAGTATTTGATTGTATTGGATTTAATAACATT